ATATCATGCATGCAACTTGTTAGGCATCTATAGAATAACAATCCTGATTACTTGAATAGAAACCCTAGGTCTAACAACCATTCTTCCATCCAACAACTCCTTGCCTAGCTGAACAATTAATCTTGTTCAACTTGTTTATTACTTTATTTATTTACTGCATTATTACCTATTAGCCTAGCTTAATCATATAACTATTAGATCTATTAGGTTCCCTAGCTCCCCGTGAATTTGATCCCTAAGTACTACAATTAAACCTCTTATTTGAGAGNTCTAACAACCATTCTTCCATCCAACAACTCCTTGCCTAGCTGAACAATTAATCTTGTTCAACTTGTTTATTACTTTATTTATTTACTGCATTATTACCTATTAGCCTAGCTTAATCATATAACTATTAGATCTATTAGGTTCCCTAGCTCCCCGTGAATTTGATCCCTAAGTACTACAATTAAACCTCTTATTTGAGAGAAATTCACTCCTTAGGGTTAAACATTTGAGTGATATCACTATGACTAATCGACTAGTCTTTTGAGACCTGTCCACCGGCTCCAAACAGACCAGATTATTTGCAATGGGAATTAGAAACTCATGTTGCTTGACCACACATGTGTATTATCGTGGGATTGCTTCGACCCCGGATCACTTAGCTCACCGGAATTCGATTACCACTAGATCACCTATGTGTGGTTAACTTACGTAGGTGATCTATGTGTAATTTATTTAGTTTGGTAACATATGTTAGATTTGTAATTTTGTGATTTGTTTCCTTTTAAAAACTTGATTAAAATAAATAAAAAATTAAATAACAACAACCCATCAAATTAAGAGAATTAATTCTAAACTTCGCTTATGAGTGAAATCTAAACAAAAACCACTAAAGTGACTTTTCAATTAATATATAATAGGATTAATTGAAGAGATCTCCTATGATTGACACATAAGCAACAATCACTTAATTGACTTCTCTGATATATTATTTTAAAGGTAAAAAATGTCGTATAAAACTATAAACGCACATAAACAATTACTGAAATTACATCAAAGATAATTTAAAAATAATATTCTTCTAGAAAAACAATTCAGAAAATAAAAATTAATAAAATACAAAGATGTTAGAAAAATGGAAGAAATAGTCTACCTTAAAATTAAAAAGAGAAAACAGATTATGGAAATATTACCAGTATTAATATTTAATTAGACTATACTTTCATTTGCTCCCTGGAACTTAGCATAGTTGTGCGCGTGAGATTGGATTTGATCCCACAAAATATGTTAAACACAATTTTTGGTAAAATAATTTTGCTTTTACCAGCTGTTTCTATCTCATTAATTTCCTTTTTTCTGCTTACAGGCTTACTAATTTCCATTTTTTATAGCTCCTTTTCTTCTATACATAATTTTCTTTAACAACGTTTTTCTGTTAAACCCTAGAACACTGTCGGGCGTTTTGTGTTACTTCGCTTACTTCTCTCCCATGTAATGGAACCGTGCACTTTCGTACGTATCACAGTCGGAAAGTTGGTTGTTAGGCCATCACCGTCTATTTTGTTGATGTAGGGAGATCAGAGTGAAAGTGCAGAACTAAACAAGACACAAGGTTTTTTTTTTTTCCGAATTCACTAAAACAAGAAAGTCTTACACCAATCTTTTTTATTATAAGAATCCTTTAGGATTAGACCAATCATAAACTAAAACTCACCCTAGAGCCTAGACTTTGTTTATCAGGATCACCCAAATCCCAAACTAAACTCCCCTGAATTTAGGCTTTAATCTTCCAACACTCTGGAAGTACGTCAACAACTACCTCAGCAACTAACGTGGAACATCAACACCAAAATCTTGATCACACAAACACAAAAGATCTCTCGACTTTTCTTTTTCCCAAAGACAACTTTCTTCATAGAGGCACGTCCTCCTTGTATAGATACCAGAATTTGCTCCTCAAGTTCTTCCAAAGACAACTTAAGCAACTTTCCTTTTTCTCTTACGGAATAACTCTCTTGACTTTTTCTCTTCAAGTAATATATTTATCTTTAATGTAAACATCACAATAAATATATTGCTTCTTCTCCAAGCTTGACAAAGCCCACAAACATCACAAACCACGAACTCCAACATAGTCCATCTTCAGGACATACACATATTCTACCTCCTGTAGTATTTCACGAACTGACACATAATATACATCTTCAATCTCCCCCTTTGACTATGCATGTGCACTCATAATAACTACCTTGAAAACCACTTCTTCAATCTCCCCCTATGAGTCACATCATGGTCAAACACTAATAAGAATATCAATATCCTCCAAAAGGAGGATGACATCCTATTCCAACATCTCCATAGTGATCAAATCTCTTAGACCACGCATTCCTGAGCTAAAATCCTCCATGATTAGCTCATTGAATAGACCTGAAACAATCACGTCGAATATGCCCTTGAACTTCACAAGAATAACATATAGGACCATGACCCCTCATACCATAACCTTGTTCCTTCTGATTCTTCTCCCTCAACAACTTGAAGCATCTTGGTCTAATGTGCTCAACAACACCACAGTGATGACAAACATGCCGGAACTTTCGTTCAGATGCCCTCTTAAGATCATAAACATTACCCAAAGCAGTTGCTGTAGCAGTAAGTGTAGCAGTACTCGTAGCAGTCGAATTCTTCACATCAACTGCAGCTTTCACTGCAGTCTTCCCATTTGTTGCATTCCCAGCAAACACATTTACCTTTGGCTTTGTAGCAGATGTAGCTACACCTTCAGTTTTTCTTGCTGATACAAAAACACCTTCAGCTTTAAAAGATTCACCTTCGAATCCAAGACCACATCGATCACTTTGCCCAATGCTGAGAAGATGATCCAACTGATCCGTCCCATTATTAAGCATCCTCAAACCCTTCTGAGTCTCTGAAAGTTGAGCACCAGCCTGTCGTGCTTCTTCTTCTTTCTCTGAGGCATACTTAAGTGCTTCATCCACTTGTGCTTCTAGCTTGACTTTCTCTTTAGTCAACTCTGAATTCGCCTTAGCCATCTAGAGCCAATTCTCATACAACTTCTCATAATTTCCAGCAATATAAAGGCTTCCATCATCACCATCACTTTCAGCACTTGAATCACTTCCACATGAAGACCCTGACATAGATGCCGATGCAGATCCCACCATAAATCTTGTCTTAGAACACAAATTAAAGTTTGTGAACGCCACTAAGTTCTTCAACTCATCACCATCATTTGTATCAGTATCAGATGCATCCTTGTCACCCTTCTTCTTGTTTTGGCTTTGCAAATTTGCACATTCCAATCGAACATGTCCATATCCTTTGCACGCATAGCATCGAATCCTTGATGGTGTTCTTCCTGAATCATCTCTTTTTCCATTCTCCTTTTTGCTTCGCAGTTGCTCCAGATACTTAGCAAGGTTTCTTAACAGCATCGCCATAGAATCTTCAAAAGATGACCCCTTGAGAGAAATTCCAAGTGGTTCTTATTTCTTCTTCTCCTTTTCTCCATATGATTTGCTCAACTCAAAAGCTTGAAGAATCCCAACAAACTCATTAAAAGCCATCTCATCCAGATTGTGAGCTTCTTCTACAGCAGAGATCTTTGACTCAAACTTGGATGGCAATGATCTCTTCAGCTTCTTGTCCATGTACTGCTTTCCAAGTGTAGAACATTCATTCAAAATGTCACACAACTTAGCACTAAACTGAGCCACGGTTTCCTCTTCATCCATCCTCAGATTCTCAAACTTTGATGCTAACATATCCAGCTTGGTACGCTTGACACTTGTAGTACCTTCAAAAATATTCTCCAATGTCTTTCATGCTTTCTGAGCTGAAGCACATTGAGAAATCAATTTAAAGTAGCTTGCATCAATAGCATTGTAAATCGCAGTCTTGGCCTCAGAGTAGCAACTTGAAGACTTCTTCTCTGCAGCAGTCCACTGATCTCTTGGCTTCAAAACTTCAATCTTCTCACCATTAAGCATTACCCCATGACTCCAACCATCCTCAATAGAACTCCAACAGTCTTCATCAATACCCCTGATAAAAGATTGCATACGTACCTTCCAATATCCATAATTGGATGAATCAAGACGTGGGGGTTTTGTCATAGACGTTCCCTCTTGATATGCTGCCATCACAAACTCTGTCATTCTTCCTGAACCAATTTATGTCCTCACCCTTCAAGATCTCACCAGTAACTTAGGTGACCCGCTCTGATACCAATTGTTGATGTAGTGAGGCCAAAGTAAAAATGCAGAAATAAACAAGGCACAAGTTTTCTCTTTTCGAATTCACTAGAATAAGAAAGTCTTACACCAATCTTTTCTATTACAAGAATCCTTTAGGATTAGACCAATCCTAAGCTAAAACTCACCCTAGAGCCTAGAATTTATTTATCAGGATCACCCAAACCCCGAGATAAACTCCCTCTGTATTTAGGCTTCAATCTTCCAACACTCTGGAATTACGTCAACAGCTACGTCAGCAACTAACAAGGAACATCAACACCATTACACAAACACAAAAGATCTCTCGACTTTTCTTTTTCCCAGAGACAACTTTTTTCATAGAGGCACGTCCTCTTTGTATAAATACCAGAACTTGCTCCTCAAGTTCTTCCAAAAACAACTTAATAAACTTTCCTTTTTTTCTCAAGGAATAACTTTCTTGCCTTTTCCTCTTGAAGTATTATATTTATCTTTAATGTGAACATCCCAGTAAATATATTGCTTCTTCTCCAAGCTTGAAAAGCCCACAGACATCACAAACCACGAACTCTAACATAGTCCATCTTCATGACATACACATGTACTACCTCATGTAGCACTTCACGAACTGACACAAAATATACATCTTCATGTTTCGTACCCAGCATCTAGTAACTGGTTCCGTAAGATCAAATTAAAGAGTTTCCCACGCCAAATTGTTGTTGTTCCCATTTTTTTTTAACCGAATCAGAATCCCAGTCCCGGTTATGCTCCGGTGAAATGTCAAACATTCTTGCTTCCTTCACTCTAAGCAAAGCTCAGATCCAATGGTCTCATATGAAGCCTGAACGGAATGTCCTCTCCGTAGAGGTTTATTCCAGCATTGCGTCTTGTGGACTCATCACTTTTGCGGGTGTGAAGCTGATTGGTCGCTTTAAGGTTTTGCTGGATTTGAAGATGGCTAAGACAAAGATGTGTTTGGCTCACCACGGCTGGGTTGCATTGAGAACTAATAAAAAATTAAAGAATATGAAGAACCCAAAGCTCCACTTTAGCGTCCGGGTAGAACCTGACCAGAAATTTATGTTTGAGTTTGACCGCGAGCCCGAATGTAATCCCAAGGTTTTTTCAGATACATGGAAACAAGAAAGAAACTGTTTTCACATGCAAGTTTGGAATAAAAAACTTGGCGAATCTTACTAGGTCAGTAATAATTTTTTCACTCTTTTTAATATTTCTAATTAAGTCTCTGACTCTTATAGAATCTCAGCAGCCACATAAACTTGTTCTCATTCTTGTTAATTATTCTTCAGATTATCTTCCATGACCACTGGAAAGAAATAGACTTGGAGGGGGAGAAAAGGTTGGTCAATAACAATCCGTGATCTCTCTGGCTCACCGGTAGTTATGGCTACAATCACCACACCTTTCGTACCATCCCTAGGTTCTAACCGCGTTTCTAAGTCAAGCCCCGGCGCGTGGCTCATCCTCCGGCCTGATGGCTACATAATGAAGCCATGGGGTCGTCTCGAGGCATGGCGTGATAAGCCTGGCTTTCTCGGTTACCGGTTCCATCGACTTCAAGAAGATATGGCTACTGAAATCTCCTCATCGTCTTCGATCAAGACAAAACTGGGAGGGAGTTTTGTCATCGATGGAACCATCACTGCCGCGGACACCAACACAGCTGCTTCTTTGACACTTTCAGTTGGAAGTTTTGACATTTCGTCGGGGTTCAGTATTGGATCATCAAAAACCCGTTCAGGATGCGGGTCGGATTTTTTTATGTCGACCAGGGTGGAAAGAGTTCAGAAACATAGCAGGCCTAAGGTGGAAGTAGTGGATACATACGTGGAATGCGTGGAGGATGCGGCGGCGTACGTGGCTTTGGCTGCGGCGGTGGATTTAAGCATGGATGCATGTAGGCTATTTTCTCACAAGATAAGGAAAGAGCTGAGACCACCAAGAATTGTTTGAAGTTTAATGATTTTATGATTAGTTTTTTTTTTCACTGGAGTAATTTTGTTTCTTGTGGAAAAAAAAAAAATTAAGCGTAATACTTTTGAATTTCATGTACATGTAGACTTTGAACCTTTAGAGTCCTAAGGTTAATCATGTCTCCAATCATTGTCAAACCAGTTCCTTACTTCATTGTTTAATCTTGACGAAAAACATTTCCTCTAATTGTTGCCGGAAGAGTATCAAAACAGGTATCATTAATTGATGACAATAGAGTATCTTATTCACTTATTTTTGCCCTCTACTTCTGCTTTTGGAATGGTGGAAAATGATTTTTGTCAAATTAAATAAGCATAATCCGATTGACGGATTTTTAGGATTTGATCATTAAAATATTGTAGTAACTTACTTAAAAGGAAAATTACTATAAAACACTACTCAAAGAAATTGATTTCACACAAATTTGAAATGTGGGACGGATAGTGATGCAGCAGCATCTTCACTTGTGGCACCAAGCAGTCAAAATCCTTTAACTTATATTTTTGTTTTTTTCATTATTTGCTTTTGGGTTTTTATTTATAATGGCGGTTTATGATATCTTTATCCTTGTGGGATTTGTCCAACGAATGGATATATAGAAAGAGTCCTTGTTTGATACATTTGATTTTATATAAAGAGCTTTTCTTATTTCCTTGAAATATTTGATTCAGTTCATCTAACAAAAAGTTGGTCATGAAAAAGCTATCGCAAGAAACTCTTAGATCGATCCAAGAACAGGTCTCTAGAACCCTAATCATTCTTTGATCGACCATCCACTCATTCGTATGCTGCGCTAGGTTGGTATCAGAACTTTATTACGCTCTGAAAACTTCTCAACCGCTAACTACGATGGTTCGCAAAACACGTTCTCATCAACCCGTTGACGACGAAGACACCCCGGCTACACAAAAATCCGTCAATGATCTCCAAGCATAGGTCACAACCGTTGTAGCTGCTGTCGCTAACCTAACCGCACAACAGAACAGACCTGCAAACCGCCGACAACGCGAAGAACATGATAACAACGATAATGTTACAGACGATGATGCAAATCCGTTTGCTCCACTGCGTCAACAACAAGACCACCGCCTTAATCGGAACACTACCAACATCCACAATTCAGACTCAGATGACGATGACAACAACGTTTCCTGAAAACAGGTTTCAAACTCGAAATTCCATAATTCAACGGCATTACGGTTGCAGAAGAACTCTTAGACTGGTTTGTAACGGTGGAAGAAATATAATAATTCAGACGTATTCCTTTGAATCGTTAGGTTCCTCTGTTAGCTATCAGTTTTCGCGATAGAGCTGCAGCATAGTGGTCTCAGAATAAAACAACCCGCGTTCGTCTAGGAAAACCAAAGATTAGTTCATGGGATAAATTGAAACAAGAGGTACAAAAAATTATTTTTCCTTATAACTATGAACAGTTGATATTTCAAATATTCCACAACCTTCGACAGGGATCAAGAACCGTCGACGAGTATGCAACGGAATTCTTCAAGATGAGCAATCGAGTTGAACTTCGGGATACCAAACAACAACTAGTCATGCAATTTATTGGAGGCCTTCGGCAGAATATTCAGTTTACATTGAATTTATTCCAACCACAATCACTTTCTGAAGCTCATCAACATAATCTTACTATCGAGACACAGGCTCGCTGTGGTTTTCCAACGTGGGGTACAATAGACAGCCTTGATCGACATCAACTCCAATCTCGACCAGCACTTCAAACGATGTTACTCTGTCTAAAACAGAGACGGCAATTGTTCCCATTGATTCACAGAAGAAAAAAAGCGACCAAGGGCAGCACGGTGTTTCTCATGTGGTGAAATGGTCCACCGTCAAGCGGCGTGTCCCAATAGAGCACGGCGCAGCCTTCTTCTTGACGACCAGAATGACGATAACCGGATATACGACGATCATGATCGATATGAGACTGGAACTCATCACTGATTCTGGAACATCTCTAACGTTACGGAAATTGTGGCTTGCTCCTCATAGTGCCTCTGCAAACCGAGAACACAATACTCTATTTCACTCCAAGTGCACCATCAAGGGAAAAATCTGATCATCGATTCTGGCAGTTCAGAGAACGTCATCTCAGCTGATGCAGTAAAAAAAACTTGAGTCACCCGATGAACCCCACCTATCGCCGTACAAATTAGCTTTGCTGCAACATGACAACGACTTAACAATTACTCGGCGGACCTTGGTTTCTTTTTCTATTGGTGATTCCTATCATGACAAAACATATTGTGATATAGTCCCAATGGATGCTTGTCATCTTTTTTTGGGACGACCATGGGAATTGGACCGGCACGTCATTCAAGATGGGTTTCTTAACACCTATACTTTTTGATTTAATATTCGCAATTTTGTCTTGAAACCATCTCCACCAAACTCCATCACCGCTCTTTCCACACATGCAACGCAATCACCCACACTAATCCTACTTCTACAACGAGCTCCTTTTGAGAACTTAATGCGGGAAACAAGGATTGTCTTACTTCTGGTGATAGCTCCAGTTTAACCTATGAAGCCATCCACACAACCACAGCTCTTTGACACCATTACAGAGTTCTCTGACATGTTCGCAGAAGAGCTACCATCTGGTTTACCACCATTACGCGATATACAACATCGCATAGACCTGGTACCCGATGCCTCCCTACCTAATTGATCTCACTATTGAATAAGCCCGACAGAACATGAAGAACTACGCCGTCAAGTAAAAGAACTCCTGGCAAAGCCTTTTTTTACGTAAAACCTTGGGCCCTTGCACGGTCCCAGCCTTGCTGATTCCTACGAAAGAAGGCTCTTGTCGAATGTGTGTTGATAGCCGCGCTATTAACAAGATCACAGTGCAGTACTGCTTTTCTATTCCACGATTGGACGATTTGCGTGACTATGGTGGTTCGGCTTCGATCTTCTCCAAACTTGACCTACGTAGTGGCTACCATCAGATACGAATCAACCCAGATGATGAATGGAAAACGGCATTCAAGTCGCGAGAAGGTTTATTTGAATGGACGGTAATACCGTTTGGTTTATCTAATGCTCTCAGCACCTTTATCCACATCATGAACCAGGCTTTAAGGCTGTTTATTGGTAAGTTTGTGGTGGTCTACTTTGACGATATTCTCATCTTTAGTTCGTCATTACAAGATCACGTGACACACATACATGACGTCTTGACTATATTAAGGAATAGTATTGAGAAATAATAATATGGATTAAGAATAGTATTTATTATGAGAATAAAAATTGAGAAAACTCCAACATTAAATTGAACTGATATTCAAATTATACAGTTCTAATTTTTTTATCTTAAAAATAATAAAATATTAATTTGATTACAAATTAGGTGCGATTATTAGATAGTACATACTAATACAAGTGATATATTATTATACAAAGCTTGGTTCTTCAAAGTTACTAATTAACACGATCGCGACACGTGGCAGTTATATATTTAAGATTGTGACATGTGTAAATACTAATTTTCTTTTTCTAAAATCATAAATAAAAAATCATTGTACAAAAACGTTGATAGTATTATATTTTTTATTAAATTTTAAACTAAAAATTGTAAAAGAGTGTAATGTGAATTTTCTTTTATTCAAATCTTAATTAAAGAGATCATAAACCAAAAAAAACTATAATAATTCACTTATTAACATGATTTTTTGAAAATAATAATAGAATTTCCATTTCTACAAATCATATAGAAAAAATATTTTTTACATAATTGATTTAATACTAAAACTTTTTTTTAAAATCATAAAAACTGTAAAAAATTGATAGTAATTATCCTTTTTTAATCGTAAGACAGAAATTGTAAAAGGATGTTTAATGTTAGTTTTTCTTTATTTAAATCCCAATTAAAAAATCATAAACCACAAGAAATTACAATTATGCACACTTATTATATATATATATAACTAAGCTCTCACATATTTTGTCAATTCTTTTATTTGATTACCAAGCATAACTATTAATTCAAGATAAATATTAAGTGAGTTTTTTTGCATGTTCTTTCACATTCTCGCGTATTTCTGTAGTTATGTTGTTGTACTGTTGTACGTAAGTTAATGTCGCTATATTTCATATCTGTATTTGTTTGTATCTACCATCTAAAATTGTTATGTTAGATACGTCAATTTACTATTTTAATATGCTTATTTACGTTTATATGTGTTCGTTCTATTTATTATTTTTAACTAAAATCCTAATTCAATTTACTATCAGGAATACTATCAAGAAACAATAACTTCAAAAAGTTATTTAACCCTAAATTAGTTAAATAAGAAGCGTAATGTAGTATGTCTTACTAACTTACATTTGTTTTTTTTGAAAATAATATGAGAAAACTTAAACCTAAATATAGATGTGGAAATAATAGTTATTTTGGTTTATATTAATCATATTTAAAAAAAAAAAAACAGAATTGTAAAAATATTAGCGATATCCAAAAATGAATTTTGATAATATAATTTTAGAAATAGTTAATATTAGCTGGAAATAACACTATAAGAAAACGTGGGCTTAACGACCACATGTTGCGACCACAAAACTGTGGTCGTAACAATACGTCTACATTACGACTAGATAACAACTAAAATTTTAGTCGTCGTAAAGTGATCGTAAAATTAGGACCATGACTTTTGGTCGTAAATAGGAGGTAAAGTAACCTCCGTTTTACGACTAATTGAAAAAATGTGGTCGTAAAAAAGTGGTTACCCGACAACAATTTTACGACTAAACTTCTAGCATCTCATTTACGTCTGATTTACGTCAAACAGTAGTTAATTCGTAGTAAAATGATATCTGGTAATAAATTTGTGGTAACATTCCATGTCGAAATTTTCCTACAAATATGGTCTCATCTCTCATTTTTTAGATACACCAAAAAAAAACAAGTTTGAGTAAAAAAATGTCACAAAATATTTATGAGCTTCTGAGTTGGATGT